CAAGTTTAAAGCCAGCCTTAGCAACTTAGTGAGGTCCTGTCTCTAAATAAAATATATAAAAGGACTGGGAATGTGGCTCAGTGGTTAAGCGCCCCCACACACACACAAAAAAAGAGCCAGCAGAGGTCCTAGTACACAGAGGGTAGGCGCTGAGGAAGTGACTGGCTAAATGGTGGAGGCTACTGACATGGGGGCTCAGTGCTGTGGTGGTTCAGAGAGGTTATAGGGCTCCTACCTTACTGGAAGTTCTGTGGAAGGAGTAGGGCAAAGCCCATGAGAATGAATGATGGTTTTAGCTCAAGAGACAGACCTGGCTTTCCTTACTGATTTTGTCACTCACCAGCTACGTGAGTTTAGGCTGCTGCACAACCTCTAGAGTCCTTCCTCATCTGTAAGGTGCAGTGCTGACTGTTCTTTCACATAGGATTTTTAGACAGACCAGCCAGGAGCTGGGGGTATAGCCCAGTGGTAGAGTACTTGCCTACATGCATGAGGCCTGGGGTTCAAACCCAGCACTGCCAAAATAAATACATAAAGTCAACTATTTGGCAGGACTCCATCAATAGCCATCACTAATATTTATAATCACTATTGAACATTTCTGTGAAGTTTGTGGTTTCTACACAGCCTTTTTTTTTTTTTTGTACCAGGGGTTGAATACAAAGTCATTATTAAACAATAAGCCACATCCCCAGCCCCTTTTCTACGTTTTATTTTGAGATAGGGTCTCACTAAATCCTGAATCTTCCCTAAATTGCTAAGGTTGGTCTCAAACTTGTAATCCTCCTGCCTCAGCCTCCTAAGTCCCTGGGATTACAGGCATGTACCACTACATCTGGCCCCAGGGGCACTTTTATCAGGGAGTTATGTCCCCAGTCCTTAAATTTTAATTTTTTTGCTACTGGGGATTGAACCTAGGAAAACTTCATCACTGAACTACATCTTCAGTCCTTTTATTTTGAGCCAGGGTCTCACTAAATTGCCGAGATTGGTCTCAAACTTTCAATCCTCCTGCCTCAGCCTTCCAAGTCTCTGGGATTACAGGCCTGCACCACCACATGTGGCTACATAGCCCCATTGGCAGAAAAGATATAGCACTCAGAAGAGCGCTAACCTGGCCATGGGAACCCATGGCCATCTGGCTCTTGTCTCCAACTTTGAAGAGTTGAATGTTTTTCTGTGGCACGATCCCTTTTCTCTGCCCTGAGTGGATGACACTGAAGAAATAGAAGCTGCTGGGAATGGATGGTACACACCTGTAATCCTAGCCACTCAGGAGACTGAGGCAGAAGGATTGAAAAATTGAGGACAGCCTCAGCAAATTAGTGAGGCCCTACTTAGCAAGACCCTATCTCAGAATAAGAAATAAAAAGGGCTGGGGATGGGGCTGGGATTGTGGCTTAGTGGTAGACCACTCGCCTAGCATGGGTGGGACGCGGGTTCAATCCTCAGCACCACATAAAAAAATTTTAAAAATGCATTGTGTTGTGTCCATCTACACCTAAATATTATTAAAAAAAAAAGGCTGGGGATGTAGCTCATGGTTAAGCGCTCCTGAGTTCAATCCCTAGTACTTAAATAAATAAGTAAAAATAAAAGCTGGGTGTGGTGGCACACGATTGAAATCCCAGAAGCTAAGGAGGCTGAGGCAAGAGGATCACAAGTTCAAAGCCAGAAACTTAGTGAGGCCCTAAGAAACTTAGTGAGACTTGTCTCAAAAAATTTAAAAAAAAAAAAAAAAAAGTTAGGGATGTGGCTTAGTAATTAATCACCCCTTGGTTCAATCCCTGGTACCAATAAATAAATAAATAAAGGCTGGCTGCTGGGGATGTAGCTCAGTGGTAAAGCATTCCTGAGTTCAATCCCCGTACCAAAAAAAAAAAAAAAAAAGAAAGAAACAGAAAAGCCAAGCTCATTAGGATGACCCCACCAACCATTGGGCAATCATAAGGGTAGATATTTATTTATTTGTTTATTTATTTATCTTTGCAGTACTGGGGACTAAACCCAGGGATATTCTACCACTGAGCTAAAAATTACCAGCCCTTTTTACTTTTTATTTTGACACGAGGCCTCCTAAATTGCTCAGACTGGCCTTGAACTTGTGATCCTCCTACCTGAACCTCCAGAGTAGCTGGAATTATAGGCATGTGCCATATATGTGTCAGGATGTTCCTAATCTGCCCAAACAACATGGTGTTCCTTCTAGCTTGCTTTCTTCCTTTCTTTCTTTTCTTTAGAACTGGAGATTGACTCCAGGGGCACTTTGCCTCTGAACTACATCCCCAGTCCCTTTTATTCTTTGACATGGGATCTCACAAAGTTGCTGAGGGTGGCCTTGAACTTGTGATCCTCCTGCCTCCTGAGTTGCTGGGATTACAGGTGTGTTCCACCATGCCCAGCTCTGTCTCTTGTTTTTTATCAGTTCTGTACCCCCTGGGGGTCATTGGATGGAAACAGGAGAAATTGACTCAAGATAACTGAAAGTAGAAAAAGAAGATAATAGAAGACTAGCTCACAGAACTGACAGGAAGCCCAGAAAATGAGGCTTGGAAACACACTGAAACCAGAAAGGCTAGAACCACCAGCAGTAATACAGCTGGGAACACTCATGCCAGGAGGACCTCTGTGGCTGCCACTGGACACTGAGCGCAGTCCAGGAAGGGAGTTCTGCATTCTGCCACCTCTTCCCCTCATTCAGTCCAGTGATAAATACTCCTAAGGGTCCTAACCCGGCATGTGGCTGGTTGACCTTGGTCCCCTGCACAAGTCCTACAGCTGCTAATAAGAGGCACAATGTGCCATTGAGGTACAAGAGGGACCAGTGCTTCTGTTGCAAATGAATCTCCCATCATCTCCCAGAGCCAGGCTGTCCAAGGGACCTGGGAATGCGGTTGTTTTTTTCAGCATGCTATCTGGGATTCCCCATTCTCAGACCCCACCCTCAACACAACCTGCTGAGGCAGCTCCACCCACTCAATCCTTTCCCTTTCCTTGACTGAATTCAGCTTTCTCTGGTCTCCTATGCACCTACCTGGCTCAAAGATGTCCTCCATTGGGTACCAGAAGGCCCTCTCTTAACAATTCCTTCTCTTTCCCCTCAGCATCATCCCTGAAGGAACTGGACACAGGAAGCCAATTTAGGAACTGTGGACTGTGTTCAGGAATCTCCTGGGTTTCAGGCAAAGAAATGCAAAGTCCCTCAGAATAGGGGGGTGGGGGGGTAAGTACAGATAGAACAAAGGCGAACATATCCCCAGTAATCTTAACACAAGGCAATAAAAAAGACCACCATGGGCTGGGGATATAGCTCAGTCGGTAGAGAGCTTGCAGCATACATGCACAAGTCCCTGGGTTCGATCCCTAGTACAAAAAAAAAGAAAAAATACCAGTGGGCTGGGGTTGTAGCTCAGTGGTAGAGTGCTTGCCTAACATGGGCAAAACTGCTTCAATCCCCAGCACCACGAAAAAAAGAAAGATAATCAGATCAATAGGCCTAAGAGATACTTCCAGTGAGCTGGGTATAATAAGTGAGCAAATAAAAAGATAATATCACACTATGATGAAGACTATGTAATTAGAAGAAATGATAATAGAGCTTTTATTTTTTTATTAGTGCTTTATGTTTATATATAGTGGTTGGGCTCATACTGATAAACTCATATGTGCATGAAAATTAATTTCAGTTTAGGATTCCACTCTTTTCCCTCTCATCTTTCCCCATCTGTTTCTTTCTTTTTTTAAAAAATTTTTTTAGTTGTTGATGGACCTTTATTTATTTAATTTATTTATATGTGGTACTGAGAATCAACCAGAGTGCCTCACACATGCTAGGCAAGCGCTCTACCACTGAGCCACAATCCCAGCCCCTCCTTTTTCTTTCTTTTGTTGCTTTTTGTGGGGGGGGGGGTATCAGGGATTGAACCCAGGGGCGCTGAGCCACTGAGCCAATCCCCAGCTCTTTTTCTTTCTTTCTTTCTTTAATTTTGAGACAGAGTCTTGCAGAGCTGCTGAGGCTGACTTGCACCTACAATCCTCCTGCC